CAGGAGGGTGGGTGGGACTGAAACATCCCACCCTGGTTGTCGTAGAACACAATCCAAAGGCACCTTTGGGGAAGCGTGAACAAGTAGGTCACCGTACTTGTTGGATCTTTTTGGTCAATGGAGCACCCCCGTTACTTGTGGGAGATGGGTTTTGCCCGATGGATCTTGCGGCAGCTGGCAGGTGATGTCGCTTCATTGGATGTTCTTTTTCGTTTAGATCAGTTCATAGGGCTGTGGGGCTTAAACGTGGAGCTAGTCCTGGAGCTATCTTTCTGTTGGGGCTGTGGGTCATGTCACCCTTTCCTTTGAATGGAACGGACGTCCCCAAAGCAAGTCCAGTGACCAGAATTACCCTCAGTTCCATTCCTGACCACTTGCATGGTTGTTTATCCGTCTATCCCAGATCATCCATCTATATATACTGTGGACAAGTTATACTATAACGATTCATTATAAGTGAATTGTTACTATAGTTCATTTCAATGATCCCCAATGGTCACGTTGACCTTTACTCTTCCATACCGTATCTACCCGCCATTTTCGTACATTTTTTATTTTTTTGAGTTTTTGATATTCAATGGTTCAAGGCTGAAGCCTCAAAGAGAATCAGCCCATGGAACCCCAAAGTGAGAAAAACAAACCATCCATCATACTTCAACCTACGCTTCAAATTCCTACTTCCCACTAGATGCTCCAACTGAGCTTTCAACTTTCTTGATTCCTTTCACCCTCAATGCCCTTCTCTTGAGCAGCTGCTGCGGTGCGCTGCCTCCATCAGCGAACCCAAGGCCGGATGTGGGGAGAAGTCCATCACTTATTTCCAGCATCTTTTAAAATGTGTACCCTATCTAGAGCCAATCCTCATTAAAAGATTCCCAGTCTACCAGCCTATGGCCCTTGATTTTCATGTAACCTTTCACGGGCTGGAAGCAAGTGACACCAGGCAGCGGCTTATTGGCTTTGCGGCTGCGCGGCTCGTCAGCTTCTTGAATCAAAGGCACTGGTGTGGAGGGAGTGTGGATGTTAGGCTATGTTTTGTGGAAAGGTTGAGCCTACTTTATTCTTTTGAGGCCTGCGGGTGCCACACTCAACCGTTTCCAGAGATGATGTCCAACCCATGGCAAGCCCACACAGACACACTTGACAGGCGGCTGGCTGCTGCGGCTCTTCGGCTTTGCGGCTCTTCAGCTTCTTGGGTAGAAGGCGCCAGGGCCAGGGCTCTGTCAGGGGATGCTTGGTCGATCGCAGCTGGGAATTGAATGGGTTTTGTGGGTTATTTGCACTAAAGCTGGCAGGGCATGGCCTCCTTTCTTGCAGCCCTCGTCGCCAACCGCCGGGGCCTGAAGTTCCCGGACGGTGAAGCAAAATTTTCAGCAGCATGTTGGGCTCAATAGCTTTGTAGTTGCCTGGAACAGGAAACACTACTGTTTAGGGTGTTAGGGACGACAAGTTCAAACATTGACCGTTATGCTATGTCGTTCAGCCAGAAACCCGGCCAAGGCGTTTCTTCTTGCAGCTCCTTCGTGTGGAGGCCAACCGGGCTTGAGAGTTGGAAGGGTTCGATTTCCGCCTGCATGCAGACTGCAGAGTTTTATGGCTGAGACTGAGGCAGTTGCTATAGGCTCAACGGCTCTTTGCGGCTGTTTTTGAATTTACATGTTGCATCCAAAAACCAGGTCAGCAGTTCTGGAAAGTTTAATCTGTTTAATGGTATTGAAAGCTGAGTACAACTGGCTAGATGTTCTTCCCTGTTGACCTGCATCACCAGAGCCATTGCTGCTAGCCTCGGCACCCTTGAGAGGCTCGGAGGGAAGTTGCGGTTTGCTTTTCAACTGGCCCGATGATGGCTTTTGGCTTTCTGTTGAGTCTCAACTCATTGGCCACCAGTTCACCACTGGCTGGCTTGAATTAGATAGCGGCCCCACCTCTCGGGCACAGGCTTCAGCAGCTCCTCGGCTATTTCACTGCGGTCAGAAGGCAGCCCATCTATCATTCCGCATTTGGTCGTGTGGGTGAAGACATGAAGACATTGGGCCAGGTATGTTGAATAGCTTGATTCAGATTGTTTCAGTCTTGGATTGAAACACTGGCTTGGGGGTGTTTGTGTGGTACCAATGTCACTTGCAGGCTTCGCCGCTGTCATCGTTGTCTTTTCCTTCAGCAGAGGCAGCGCCGCACTAGATGTTTAAGAGAGTGTGTGTGTGGCTCCTTGCTTAGCACCCCTGTTCTTTGAATGTGGTAGCCCCAGAGATTATTCCAAGCCCACACACCCAAAAAAACGATAACCTCCGCTGTTCCATCAGGCCCAGGCGTTTGGCGCTTCACCTGCTGTCACTGCTCCCCTGGCTTTGAGAAGGCAGGGCGACGGGACACTTCAAGTGTCGAGTTTGTCGGGCAGGGTCCACCGACGTCCAACTGTTTAAGCTGGAAACGCAATAGTATTAGAGCGGTCCATCGCACAAATGCTCTGTGTTTCTCAGGGCACTTCGGCTCAGCGGCTCTTGGCTTTTTGCTGTTTGGCTGCTGAATGTTTGGTGCTTTGCGCCGTGTCGTTGGGGGGTCGCCCTGAGCCAGAGTCTTCAACTTCCTCGTCCTCAGACGAGATGGCAGCGGCGCAGGGACCACCACAAGAGATGGGCCCACCTGCTGACGACAGGGCAGGCAATGGTGGCAATGGTGGTGGAGCAGACGATGGTGGCAGTGGAGCAGGCCATGGTGGCAATGGTGCTGGAGCAGGCAATGATGCGTTGGTTTCGGCTTCATCGGCTTCAGCGGCTCCAGCTTCCAGTGCTGAATCCCAACTTGCTCAGAGCGATGCAGCCAGGAGGGCGCGGCAGGAAATCGCTCAAAGCGTTAAGGCTGGGATGTCTTCATTTGAGACTGGCGCGCTGATGTTCACCAGAGAAGAGTTTTGCCGCTTTACCTGCCACCCATCGGCTGTGCCCTCATGGTTTCAGCAGAGGTACAACACTACTGAGAATTTCACCTGGGCTTTCTGTGGCTTCGACCCGGTGGTGAGCTCATTTTACCCCAGCGGCTCCCGGAACCACCAGGATTTGGTCAGTGTTTGCGCCCGTTTCTCGGTCAAAAGTTTGATTAACTTGTCTCTTCACATTTCATTGGCTGGCGTTCCTTCATGCGCAGCTAGACTTGGGTTGAAGCATGATAGTAGTCAGTTGTTTGTTCACTGGAGAATGAGAATGATGCATCTGAGACATGGCCTTGCCGGATGCCTGGGTGGTGGATGAGGCCAAGGAGCTTCAAGCACGGCTGCCTGCAGCGCAGAATGTGCCAACTCGCTGGCACACAGTTGCTTGTATGGATTAAAGTTGTGTATTACGACATTTTAATGTTCTTTCGGGTAGAGTTTTCTGGGAATCTAACAAGGACGTGGCAGAGCGGCGACGGCAGAAACAGGCACCCTATGCTCCCACGGCTCCTCGGCTTGCAGGCTTTGGCGCTGGAGGCGCAGAGCTACCAACTTGGAGCAAAAACACGAATGTGCTACCTCTTTTCAGGATGTATTTGCCAAGAGCTCGCAACTTGGAGCTGCCCCGTGGATGCACTCTGCTTTCCTTTCTCCAAGTTGCGGCAGCCGACATCATTGTCGTGGACCAGCTGACAGACATGGACACGCAAAGCTCAGATCATGTTGCCACTTGAAGCATCAAGGGACAGGGCAAATGTTAAGTGGCTGACACTGAAGTTCAGCACGCGTTGGACCATCTGTGAGAGTGAGTTTGCTTGCTTAGGCATTTTGCTCAAAATGACGTCTCCAATCCTTTTGCCTAGTTTCCTAACTCATTGGCTAGACTCATGCGGGCCCCAGACTTTGTCGCGGATCCGCGCAGCTGCAGAAGCTTGTAATGAGAAGGTTGCGTGGCCGAACTTCCTCATCAACGGCTCCAATGGCTCATCAGCTTTGCGGGTTGGAACAGATTGTAGTGGCTTGGAAGCTCCAGTGCATGCCCTCCGTTCTATGGGCCTGCTGCACAAACATGTTTTCAGCTGCGAGATCAATCCGGCCCCCAGGACGATGATTGAAGCGAATTGCTTGCCTGAGGAAGCTTTCATGGACGACGTGATTGTCAGCTCTGCTGGCGCAGTGCCCTTTGTGCATTTGTATGTGGCTGGGTTTTCCTGCAAACCATTTTCCATGCTTCACAACAAGACCAAGCTTCTTGAGGAAAAGGAGGCTGAGATTTTCAAGGCAGTTCTTCGACGCATCGGCAAGCTACGGCCTCCATGCTTTGTCCTCGAGAACGTCAAAGGCATCCAACGGTGCATGGAGAAGGTACAATCTATGTTGCAGGACTTGGGCTACATCGTAGCGGTTCAATTGATGGACCCTTCGAGTTTGGGGGGAGCCCCTTCTCCGGCCACGTTTCTATTTCATCGGGCTGCGAACAGATGTGGCCGCTTTCCTTGCAGGAGCCTCCAGGCACATTCTCCAGCACATTTGGACTGAGCTGGGGCAGGCAAATGAACCTGCTCCTTTGGCTCAGCGGCTCTTACCAAGTGACCACCCGCTTGTGTCGCAGCACCAACAGGGCGCGATGGTCTCAGGCAGCAACACTGGGGTTTCCAACCAGGTCACCCCACATGAAATGGAAGGAGCTGCATGATGAATGGAAGGCCAAACATTGCCACGCGGCTCCGTCAGCTTTTAGTTTCAGGGGCTGCTCGGCTGATGATTTGTTTTTGCATTTACCCCGGGAGAGAGACGTTTGGGACAAGTTGCGCACGACAGTTGGGCAAGCTGACCAGTTTGTGTGCGATTTGTCTCAAAGTTTGGGCCGCAACAGAGAGCGCACTGATGGAAAGGTGCCTACCATTACTCCCGGATCCCACCTGATCCTGGGCAGTGAGGGTCGAGCCCTGCTGCCGCACGAGGCTCTTCTGCTGCACGCATTCCCACTCCACAAGATGACTTTCCCAAGTTGCATCTCAGCGACGGATCTTGAGAACATGGGCGGTAACACTATGCACTGCCAGGTGGTTGGCATTGCCATGGTGATTGCTTTGCTTCTTGTCAATTGGGAGCTGCCTGCAGCCCATCAGAGCCTTCCTGCAGCGGTAGCTGCTTCGGCTCCTTCAGCTCCTTTGGCTCTTGAGGCTGCGAAGCGTTTAGAAGAGCACTTGCGCAAACGCTTTGGAATGCAGCCACCGACATGGAGCAAGGTGGCCAGAAACCAAAATTCTGGGAGGCTCAGAGTCAGAGTGCAGAAGGTCAAGGGCCTGAAGGGTGAAAGGAGACCAAAGTGGAAGAAATGTCTTGTGAACACTCGGCGGGGGTAGTTTTCTGGCGCCAAGACCAAAGACAAGCATAATTGAGCAGTGACTTTGAACGGCTGAAAGGCTGTTGAGTTGATGGAATTTCAACAGTCATTAATGATATGTATAGCGAATTTGCCATCGTGTACAGGATCTCAGACATCAGGCCAGTATAAATCACCCAAAAAAAACAAGGAGTTAACACTTGAGTTTTTTGTTTGCGTGTTTCCAATGCCAACTTTGGTAGCCTCAGGCTGCTGCGCTTTTGCTATGCTATGGCTTGGGAAAATGTCTCGTGGGCAGAGAGGCTTTTGAGAAGCCTGACCGGCGAGAGTGGAAGCCGGAGTCGTTCCTATCAGCTCAGCAGCACGAACCAGGGCTCTTGCAGTGGAGTTATCTGGTGAAGTGGCCAGGAAGCTTGGGAAGTTATCTGGTGAAGCTTGTAGTTTCTTCTCTTTTCAACTCCCTCCTATGGCTACGCTTAAAATTAAGGAACTAGCACGCCCCCAAACGCATCCACCGGCCACTGGTAAAATCTCTCCAAGGTGTAACTTGGTGGTTTCTGCGTTCAAAGCCTGCGCCAAGACCTCTGGATCGCGCTGGCAACTGGCAGTGTTCGGTGAACCCTTTGTGGCTGCGAGACCATTTGCTTGCAAAAAGAAGGTTTGCAAGAAGCTGGCAAGCTGGCCTGAATTTTGGGCATTCCTTCGATCAATTCGCGTTCTGCAGAAATCAAGAGGCTTAGTAGCCTTTGGCCTGAAGACTTGAAGTGGGGTCAGTCTTGTTTCGTACAGGAATCGGAAGTTGCTAGCAAAGCAGCCTAAGTGGCTCCAGTAGCTCAGCGGCTCCAAAAAGCGCCCCCTCCAAATACGCCCAGTGGTTTTTAAAAACCAAGACCGTATTGCGAGGGGAAATTGTCCACTGAATATGCTTTGCCTCAGTTTCAGTATTGCCTTGGAAAAGATAACTGAGAATACACTCCTGGTTTGCAAAAACTGGGCCCGTATTCACAAGGGCATTCCCCCCTACAATACGCCACTGGTTCGTAAAAACCAGTAACCTCAATGTTTTCGTGTCATTGAAAGGTGAAAACAAGCACTTGAAAGGTTTCGTGCATTTGAAAGGTGTTTTGTAGCCGACGACTGCTTCCAAAGGTCTCAATTTGCTTGCAAAGGTAGTGCGTTGCCACTGAAAGGTCTGAGAGAGGTCTCAGGGCAGCTGTCATTGTTTTTACTATGTTGACTTCACCGTCATGAATCGCATGCTTTTGCCAGGCCAGCGATGCCTCCACCTGCGATCAGTGCAAGGCTGGCAGCAGACGAAAGGGTGAGCGCCTGCAAAGGTGGCAGGCGACCAATTCTTGGGGGCGTTTGGCCAGATGCGCTTGGGTCGTTGCTTGGTGGTAGTAGTCCTTACTGGTCAAGTAGTGACTCTAGAGTTTGTGCCATATAGGGCCTGGCCAGCCTGCAGCCCAGGCTGCCAGGGATTGCATGGATTCCAACGACAACAAGCTATATACTCTCTGTGGCAAACTTCATGTTTCGAGACTATGATTTGGACACAGTAGCTCCAGTCTTCCAGCTGCACTGATGAGAGTGGTAGTGGGTCAGTGGTGTTTCAGCAGCGTGCAGCGTTCAATCGAAGTGAGGCAGCCCTGGCAGCTTACATGGCCCATAGAATCGGCTGTCGCATCCCACCACTGGACAAGGTGTGTGAAACCTTTCAGTGCGTTCTGTTGAGCCTTCACCACTATGTGTTGCACTTACTTTCCCATGAAAGGTTCTCTAGTGCTATTGAAAGGTGAGCTGGTTGTCTGCCTTGTTTGATCAGACAAGAACATCATCAGGAATCAGATCCCATATTGGCACTCCAAGCTCCGCAGGACCCAGACAACCTGATGCTGCAGATCTTGCACGCTGAGAATTCCTTTCTGAGGATGGGGGAGTCCAGGCTGTCTTTTCTGGACAGTTGCAGAGGCAGCTTTGCCCACTCTGTGGTGAAGAGCCGTGACTTGGTGGATGCCTGTGTGATAGTTTTCAGGCAACAACCTGCAACAACTTGATACGACCATACGTTGCAACCTGTGAGCGCATCGGCTGTTTGTTTCTACCTGTGCCACAAACCAGATGAATCACCGCGCCCATGCCAGGCAACAGGTCTGTCAGCTTCGAAAAAACTCTGGCTTGGTGCTAGGGCGGACCTGCTTTGGGGCATCCTTAACTGAGGTGGTGACAAGCTGACGGCCTGTTTGAAGATTCTGGTGGCCAGTGCCAAAGTTCAGAAATTGGAAGCCAGGGAGCAGTTAGCTTTAATTATGATTGCAACGTACCTTCGCTCTGTGCAATTTGGTGAGTTCTAGGTGGATGAGTTGTCGGCTCGTCGGCCCTTGGCTTTGCTTCCGCTCGTTCAAAAGTTCTTCGAAGTCACCCATGGGCTTGCCCAGCGAAAAGCTTTCCTGCCGTCCCGAGTTATTTCCAAAAGGGGGCAGAAGGTCCGGCCGAACCGTGCCCTGGCGAAGCTTCGGATGGCTGATGTTCTGGCCATGGCTGGTCAATTTTTGGATGGCAGCCTCGACATTATGTTCGTGTGCCAGGGCAAAGCTGATTGGATTGTCGACGTGGATATGTGCCTTGTCGCAACCTGAATGGAATTTCAACAACATCATTTTCAAGACAGGGAAGCAATAGCCAAGTAATTGACCACCGAGGCTCTATCTCGTGAAGTGCAACTCCAGCAGGCTGATGGCTCCCCACTTTCGGCAGACACTTGCGGCCATTGATCGTTTGGCCAACCCTTGCTACGAGTGCAGCCCGCATTGGATTCGCAGATGCAGTTTATAGTACAGTATAGGTTCGTGTCCTGGGGTTTGTGAGTGGCCCGTGCACTATAATAGACTTCACTGACTAAAACTTTTGCGGCTTCAATGGCGCACTCGGGTTTTATGTCAGGAATGGAACATACAGCAAGGTCTTTGGGCGATGGTGCGGTCAAAGCCCTGCAGACACTCTGGAAGCCGTCCAGGAGCAGTTGAAAGGTTTGCCAAATCCCAAGTGCGTGAAGATGCAAATTCTCCAGGCTGAGGTCACATCTGACGTTTGCGTCGTGAATGCGTGCAAGTGCATCCACGTCTTGAAGACTCCCGGTTTGCGCTTATCGTTGAGATTCAGCAAATGGCTTCCTGTCAGTCATGGGTTTCCCTAGCCACGACTTGCGCTCAGGAACTTTTGCTTTCTCAAAAGGAGTTGCTAGGCTATTTTGGGATGCCAGTGTGAGTTTGTTTCCGCCCCTTGGCTTTGCAGCCACAATGGGGGCAGCCATTCTCAGGCAATTGGATGGGCGAGGAAGACCCGTCTCCTCTCCCCAAAGTTGGCCGTGCCCTCGGCGGCAAATGAAGAGGCTTCCTGGCTCATCGGCTCCCGTTTCAGGCACCATTGCCGCTTTCGTTCCTTTAGGAGGAGATTTAGATGTCAGCTGCAAGGCCTTAACGCACCGCTTCATGTAGACCCTTAAAGTCAAGCACTTTGCCCTTCACTGCTGGACTATTCAGATTTTAGCAACTGAAGGGTTATGGCCCGGACCCTTCCAAGCATGTGGTGGCTGGTTTTTGGCCACTGGGCTTTGGGTCGGATAACTAAAATTAGCCGTTAGTGTTTTGTGAGCATCCTGTTCAGGCCGAGATTGGCTGGGCTCATAGATCCTCACCATCAAGGCACCTTTTGACCTTGCAGAAGGTTTCTCAAAGGGTACAGTGTCGTCACCTTTCCTTGCGCAAGGAATAACTGTTGATGCAGTAAAAGGTGGTGGGCATGTGTTCAAGGGTTGGCCAGGCAGTGCAAAGCACATGCTTGAGCTTGGAGGCCACTGGTTATTATGTACCTTTGAAATCACCAAGCCTACCCTTCCCAGCGGAATAGCTTCAACCTATCAAATGAAAGGTAGTAGGTGGGGTCGGAAAGGTTTGCCTTGTGTGTCTTGTTTGAGGACCTTGTGTTGTTTCTTACAGCTTCCTGGCCGGTACTGGCCAATTTTGCGACTTCGCTCACTATCCTTGGCAGGGTGAGGTTGGAAGTGCGGCCCACAGATCCTCTCCATGGAGGTGCCTCATTGTTCCTTCCTCGGGCTTCTTCAGGGCACCCAGCCGTGACCTTTCCTTGCTCCAACCTCTTTGGTTTTTGCAGTCAAGGATGGCAGACATGTACCCAAGGGTTAGCCTGGTACTGTACGATCAATTCCTGTTCTCTTCGTCGCTTGCAACCCACTGTTTTGGCTAGTGGCTGTGGTCCTTTGAAATCACAAAGTTACCTTTCCCAGCGGAATTGCTTCCTGCAGGCAATTGAAGGGTAGTGCGTGGGCTCTGAAAGGTAGACTCAAGATTGAGCTTGTCGTTTGTGTGGCCTCTGGCTAACTGGTTGAGATTTTGGATTTGTCCATTGTTCCTGTGGGAGGCCTTGCCTCAGACCAAGCAGCAGCTGGTTGTGACCCAACACATGAAAAGACTGGGGTTGGTGGGCTGGCCGCTTGCTGTCTGATTGAGTTAAAGTGCTCACTTGAATCTTCGAAGCCTCACTGAACAGTACCCTGGGCATCAGATATTGATCCTAATCAATATTCTTGAAAAAAATCAACAATTTCTATTGATTTGGGCGCGTGCTTTTTCAATAGAAATTCTTCCT